TGTGCTGTGCAGCTAGCGGGTTGGAGTGGTTTTAAAGTAAGGGAGAAGAGGTAATGGCATGAAGAACAAAGATATGTTTAAAGCCAGCCCTTCGCACGTGCACTGACCAGTGGTGGTAGTGAATGCTAGTGCTTTATAAAGCGATGCTGTCATGTCTCCTACCCAACGTAGGCTTTTCATGCTTGTATTAAAACATTTTATTTTCCCCACACTTGGAAAGTTCCCTTTAAATCAATTCCTCTAAGTTTTTTGCCTTCCCCTTCCATTTAACACCTGAGTGCCTGATGCGCTGGTGGCTGTTGTCTCTCTTCCCCCGCCCCCAGCATTTAACCATTTTGGCTTATTGGATGCATATCCTTTCAGTGTGGCTGAATGCCAGCGCTGGTATACAGAAGCCACAGAGATAAGCTAACAGTGGTTAGTGTTGGCGTCTCACTTCAGCTTATTGTCTGCCTTTAATCTTGAGCCGATTAATCCGTCCAAAGAGGAGCGAAGGATCATGAGTGAGACAGGCAGAAAAGCAGCCATGGATGATGAGTGGGTGGGAGCTGAAATACTTGGAAGTAAGAGCAGATGCACCTTGTAAGCAATGTGAAACTGTGTGTAATGACAGGAGAGCAAACCCAGGCACTTCGAAGAGGTAATTATGCCTCTTGGTGATTGTGGCTGGAACAATCGTGGCATGTGGGTATGCAGGTGCTCACATCCCAGTGCCTTGCAGAGGGATGTGAATGCTTGGTTGGCCTGGGAAAAAGATAAACAGACTCTCCAGTAATTTTGGAATCTCGTCAATATTTTACCAAGGGAAAAATGAGATGATTTGTAAAATACAAAATCCTTTTTTTTTATTTAAATTTTTTTTTTTAAAAGCAGTTACTTTGCTGATGTAAATGGCCTTGCTTGCTTCTAAGCCATACGCTGTTGCATTTTGGATTCTGCATCTCGGGAGGTTAAAAGATGAATCTACAGAATGTTTTCTGCTCATAGCTGAGAAACCACTGTAATCCTAATCTTGGCTTTGCCATGTAACTTGCAGAGAGTGTATGTTAAATAAAGAGAAACATTAGGATTAGGACTGAAATTCAGTCTGATTCAAGGAGCTGCTACAAGGACCACAAGCTTTTTAATTCCTCCTTTGAAGATTTTGGTACTGATGAAGTGATACTTAAATGATCTTTTCCTTTTCTCTTCTTTTTTTTTTTCCTTAGTTTTGTTTCTGTTTTTGGAGCAAGCTTTGAGCTTAAATTGAGCTGGCAACTTCCTTTTCAGACCTCAGCAGCTGACATCATTTGTACAGCAATAATCAACAACAGGAAGAAAACATCTGGGCTTGGAAGCATAAAGAGATCAAGGCTGTAGTGGTCTAGAGAGTAAGGGGTGACAAGAGTCTGTGTTGCAAGAGTTTGTCTTGAGTGTGTCCTGCAGACAGGAGGCCACTAGCGGCTGCAGGAGTGGAACATTCTTGCTTTCTGAGATGAAGGGACGGAAGATGGGGCAGTAAGCTGTTGGGTTCCCTAGGGAGAAGTGGTTCAGTGAGGTCAGGACAACGCACTGCTTTTCGCATGGGAAGCCCCCAGGGTAATCTCCACAGCTGGGTTTGCTGTGTGCTCCGGTGGGTCAGAAGCCCTTGTGTCCGTGTCCTGTGGCAGATCATACCCAAGGGTCATCTCGGGAACCGAGGGCTGTGGGAATGCAGCGGATGGAGCTTTCATCAGCTGCTTTGTACTGCTCTGAAGTGCAGGGACCCTAAAGAAAAAGCTTTTTGTTTTACTCTGAGCTCTTGAGCTGTGCCGAAGGGCTGGAAGGAGAACTTCCTCTGAGCTGCATGTGGGCTATTCCTATCCATACCAATAGGTAGGAGTAGTTGCAATGCTCAATTCTTTTAACAGCAGGTGAAGAGTCCATCTTGACTCTTCTCCTTTATAGCTCATTCTTACTTATGTGGGCTCCCCAAAACCCCAGCCCTAGCACGCAGGGATGTAGGCCATGATATTGCAATGTAGTTGACCCCTTCCATTGTAATAAGGGATGGTGAAATTGAGGACACATTTACAGTTGTTTCTGAATTACCTGTAGACTAGCACTTAGTCACATCCACCTTTTTTATGTCTTATGTGCAGCATCTGCTGCTTCTGCTCCTGCAGCTGTGGCCACACAGCATCCTTCCTCCTCCAGGGTGTGTCAGGTATAACCGGTGAGCAGCTGCAGCTGCCCTTCAGCACTTGGACCCCCATTCAGGGATGTCCCTGTCGCTATGACTGTCCCATGGTATGGTCTATCACAGTGCTCCTTCCCTGAGTCTCTTTGGACCAGTTAAATTACAGGCTTTTGAAGGCTGTTGGCTTACCTTGCACATTCAGGCCGCCTTCTTGCTGACTTCTTCCGTGTGAATATAACGAAGTGGTTGATCAGTAATATTTGCCTGGCAGAAAGCTGCTATGGAAACAAACTGTGTTCTGTTTTGATGGGGATGATGGGTGATTTGGCTATCGGTGAGCTCAAGGGAGCTGCTATGAGATGTGTCGGCACAGATATTCCTAATCCCCAGAGCTGACTTTCATGCACATATGCACCACTACCTCCATCCCTTATCCTTATTGTAACCAGCTGTGGTTTGACTTTGTCGAAGATTTGATAGAGCTCCCTTACCCCCTCTCCCACTCCCTCCACAAACTCCCATTAGTCATACTTGGGCAGCGCATGAAATAAGATGGTGATAAAGCTCTGATCCTAGACACCAGAGTCATTCCTAGGGGCTCCGTGCTGGGCTGTGAAGACTCCACTGTGTTAACCCCTTGGTGCCTCCAGGCAGAGTTTCCTAATGCCCGTAAGCCGTGCATCATCTTGGGGTTGATAGAGCTCTTAGGGCACCTTTCATCTCGAGTAGAGATGGATTTATTACTCTGATGTGCTAGAGATGAAATGGGCTTTTTTTGGCTTTTTAATTAGGCGGGGGGCTAAGGAAGACAGCTCTTGTGTTAAGGCACTGGCCGTTTGTGAAGACCTGGGTTTTCTCTGTATCCCATTGGTAACGCAGAGAGAATGTTGTTTTTCTCCTTGTTGTTCATACTACTTAAGCTAAAGATTAACTTTGGCAGAGTGACAAGAGGCTATGTGCTGGCCAAGAAACAATTCAGCCTGGAAGTTAGTGGAAGTTTTCTGACCACTGGGGAGGAGGAGATCATGGAACAGAAATTGGAAGATTTTTTTAAAAAACAGGACAGTTTATCGTCTGGTTAAATTTGGGTTGCTTTTCCCAAGGGTGATGAAAAGCACATCCTTGGTCTGATGCCAGTCACCAGGCGAATTTCAGAACTTTCACTTATAGCGTAGATTTCACTGATGAGCAAGACACTGCTATGAGTGAACAAAGGCCACTAGCCACTCCTGAGCCGCTGCTGGTCCAAGCTGCAGCTGTACTGCCGATGGATCAGCAAAGAACTGTACATCACATCCTGCCCTTTGCAGGCTAGTGTGATGCTTTGAGGGGCAAACACGAGCCCTTTGGAAAAGCACAGGTATTTTAACTGCTGTTTTGCTCCCTGCTATGTAGCCACTTTTGCAAAAGGGAGCGAGGGTGGGCAGAGCTTTGTGGGAAGGATGTTTTGGGTAATCCTCTCTGCTTTCTACAGTGTTTGCATGTCTCAGACGGTGGAGATGTCATTACCAACTTGGGTGGCTGAGGCTCGTGGGTCGTTCAGGAGAGCTATACTGCTTTTGCGGCGGGTCGAGAGCTCCTGGTGTAAATCCAGCTCTTAAGGCAGTGCAAAACCAGTAAATCTAGGCTGATGTGTCTGCGTGGGGTCGAAGCAAAGCTTTGTACTTCACTGAGAGTGAGTAGGGCCCAAGGACTTTGTCTCTTATCCCAGTTGTGATTTAGAGCTAACTGCTGAGCTGATGGCAGCCCAGATACTCGCCAGTAAAGTTAAAAATAAACTGCTTGAATGTCTCTGCTGATAATTGAAGCAACTTTTTAATTTTTTTGTATGTGATTTGATATAAAATCAAGCCAGGGCACTCTCGTCCTCCCCAACAATGCCTGACCAGTTTGTGACCCCTGAAGTCCCACAGGCTTTTCCTACTCTTTCAGCAGCAGTTCAGTTTCTGAGATGCTGGCTTGCTTCTTCTATTTCATTCTGTCTAGTGAAGATCTTGGAGATCCCATGTGTTCGAATAAAAATTTGAATGCTCTTCATGTTACTGGGAGGAACACAAAACCTTCAGGTCCAAATGTCTCTTGTTACCCTTTGAGGCTGTTCTACATCTGGAGCACTGGTGGAGTATCCTGTAGCTGCCTACGAACCCAGTTGCTGCTGGACCTAATGTGTTAGGCTGGAACAAGGATCAGATTGAGCAGATGCCAGAGGCAGTCAGGACCATCTTGTTGTCAGGAGGTGTCTCTGCAGCCGCGACAGACTGTTGGTCCTGCGTCTTCCTCACTCGTACGCCGTCTCTGGAAGGTGCTCTTGGGTGGGAGGTGTAGCACAAGGCAGCTCTTATCCATGCGTGGAGTCCTTGGTTGTGGCTGCGTACGTGCCAGCAGTAATACATCTACACTCTGGACACCTTTTCTAGCACGTCCAGAGGCACCGAGAAAGGCACTGCTTGATTGTGAGGTGCTGAGTACTGCAAGCTGCTGACTGATGCTCACAGGGAAGCTTGTCTGTGTCGTTGTTTATTTGTCACCGAACAGGGGAGTGGTGTTTACAGAGCGCTCTGCAGTGGATTGTGTTTGCTGCCCTAGGAGTTCCATTTGCTCCATTCACAAACAATTGCAGTAAACAGGCTGTAGTAGTGGAACTATTTCCTTCAGCTTCTGCTCCGTAGTCCCCTTCCTGACTGCATTGTCAGATGTGGGGCTTTAGAAACCAGGTCTTTCGAACTCAGGTATTTTAAGGGGAAAGGGATGCTGCAGCCTCTGCAAAGCATGCTTTCTGTCTTGGACATCTAGGAAAGCTACTGCGCCAGCCATTTACCATTGCTTTGGTTGTCTTTCCCAGTTGATCATGTGGTTCCTGAGCCAGGGACCAGTTTGCTGACAGCATTTGACCAGTGGCGAGAATGGGCAGACAGCAAATCCTGCTGCGACTACTCTCTGCACGTGGATATCACCGAGTGGCATAAAGGTGTCCAGGAGGAGATGGAAGCTCTGGTTAAAGATCATGGTGAGTTCAGTTACTGAAAGTTCAGGGAAGCCTTTCCCCTCCTTATTTCTTAGGACTGGCTCTTGTGAAATATTTGACTGTTACATCCCAGTAAAGCTCTTCTGGGCCCTGACATTAACTTGGCCCATTCGTGAAGGTTGGGACAGTCACTGTGGTAGAGGGCTCAGGGGGATGGTACCCACTGCTGTCACTGCAGCATGTTAGGTGGGTGAGCACTGATTTTGCAGAGATGAATCTCTTGCTGCTGCCATGCAGAGGAGCCCCTTTGTTCAGTGGGGGCCCTTTGATTTTCGTTAGTGCAGGTAGGTGATAGCTTCAGCCATTAAACTGTTGTAAACCAAGGAAGAACCAGGCCCAGAAGGAACACTCCAGCACTGGTTGCTAAAAGTGGAGAAGAGCTGAATAAAATGACCTCATAGGTTTTTCCCCTCTTTAATTTCCTTGACGTTTCATCCTTAGGCTAGAGTAATTTTCCATCCTGTTTCTGGTTTAAAAAAACAACCTTTTACATCCTAATGAGCGCTTTCCCACACGCGCTGGGTAAGAGTTTTTACTGATTCAGAAGGCAGGAGAGGGAAAGCCGAATTAGGAGCACTCCCCGTGTCTTGGTCAGTACAAACACGGTGGGCGAGGGCATGCTTACAGACACAGATTTCCCATCGCTCTCACAGGAGGGAGCTGGGGGATCAGACAGCCAGGCCCAGTCTCTGCTTTTGTCTGCGATGCATTTTGCTTATATATTTTACTCAACCTCCTACGGTGCTGAATCCACAGAAGTATTTTTATTTCCATGTTAAGTGGAAGCCTAGGGGTTTAGCTGTCCCCACGGCTGGAGTGCAGGCTCATCCGTTCTCATCAGTTGTGTTAACAAACGCCACATGGCTGAGGCGATCCTGGCTTTGCGCCGTGATCTGTGGGGAGTCCGTGTGTCCGTGTGCACGCACATGTGTGTGCACATTTCACAGCAGATTAAAGTGATTTATTTGTCTGCCCATCATTACTGTTTGCTGGAGGGCTGATGGAGGGGGACGTCTTCTCTCTCTGAGAAACGGCGTGTTTCGTAGCTTTATCTGTGCCTGCAGTTTGAATGTCAGAGATAATTCCTTTGCTCTCTTTCTCCCAGGTGTGAACTCCTTCTTGGTTTACATGGCTTTCAAAGATCGATTTCAACTAACTGATTCTCAGGTAGGAGGGCTTAATGTTCACATGCTTCTGTCACTGCAAGCTGTGCATTAGTCACATGTAAGGGTTTAAATTCAATACGCTGGGATCTGACATTCTCTTCTGGTTTCGGTCTTTGCATGCGTAACAGCACCTAAGGTTTGCAACAGCACCCAGAGCTCTGGTTTGAAGATTATTTTTAAATAAAAAAACCCCAACCAACAACAAACCCTGGAAGGCTTGGCTGGGGAAAGCAATGGCAAACCCCTCGTTTTGAGAGATCTGAGGTTTTATTCCAGCTCCTTTGGTGTGGAAGCAGTGGCAGTTTTATAAATTGCTGCTTTATGCCTAGGCGCAGGGCAGGGCAGTGAGCTCTCTGGCATAGCTGCTCTTTCTGCTCGTAAGCTGAAACTGATCCTGGCCCAGAAGTGGGTTTCTGGCTTTAGCCTTAGAATCGCTGGGACCTTAAAAAGGAATTGGCCTCCTGTTTGCTCTTCTGGTGTGTACGTTTGGGTACATGTAATTGTTGAGATGGGCAGTTTGTATTTCTAAACGTGGTGGGAGGAGAGGAATGCCTGGGAGTCCTTTGGAACAGTGTAGGAGGCAGTGGTGTATGACAGTTATCTCTAATGACTCTGGTAAGCATTTTAATGAGTGGCCATTGACGGAGCCAGCGTCAGTTGTGGGTTACTCACCCTGAGCCCTCTCAAACTGGCTGCTGGAGTGGGAAGTCACACTGCTCCTGTCCCAGGCAGCGAGATGGGTGGGTGCAGGTTCTCCGTGCAAATGAAATGTGAGGGGCTTTGTTCATGCTAGACACCCGTAAATGAAGGCATGAAACAGGTGCAACTCTGTGAGCTCTTTAAAGTCACACCAGATGTAGGCCTGTGCAGTTGCTGTTTCTTCCTCTGGTGTGGTAAATAGACCAAACCTGGCTTTTGGATAGTGCTGCTTTGCCATATCAGTAGCATCTGACTCTACAGATTGGGAAATGCAGTTATAGGCAGGAAAATGGGTCATATCTATCCAGCAAACCACCTCTTATATTTCTTAATGCTTCTCTTTCTCTTCTTCATTCTGCAAAATCCTGTGTGCTGAAGGAAATCTGGAGCGTATACTTTGTAATCGGTGTGTACCTGAGTGTGCACTCAGGGTATATTGTAATGTGTGTTTTCTGTCTTCCAGATATACGAGGTCCTGAGTGTAATCCGGGATATTGGCGCGACAGCTCAAGTGCATGCTGAGAATGGTGACATCATTGCTGAGGTATGTTATGTTTATTCTGTGGATTATTAACTTCAAAATGCTGGGTGGGATTTAAGCTCTTAATTCCTTCTTTGTGAACAGAAAATCACCAAGACTTTTAAACGCATGGCATAGCTGTATCAAGGATGCAAGCAGAGCTGTACATCAAATCTTATCCCCTTCATCACAACTGATAAAGCAGGTTTTCCTGGCAGCTTGCAGTTCGTGGTGAATATCAGCCATCTCTGCCTTTCTCCCCATAAGTGAAAGGCTGTGTCTGGCTGTGACTATCACTGCATGCAACAAAGTGTTCTGTGGTAACTAAGACCAGGGTGAGTGGGAAGGGAAATAGCTTCATACAGTACCCAGGATGCTGATGTTTGGTATCTCTTCATCCTGTAAACAGCAACAAGGAAGAAAAGTTAATAGTGTATTTGGATTTAATCTGATCTCCAGCTCATTTTTATGACTTGAGCATGCAAAACTTGGTGTTGCAGAGGATTTCTGCTTTGTCTGACTGGGGAAGAGCCCACCTGAGCCTTTGAGCCCAGTTGTCTGCGGTTCCAGGATGATTTTTTCCATGAGATGCCGTTTTACCACATCTTAGAGATTATTTTATATAGACGCAAATGAGTAGTGAAAGTTGAGGGGCTATGAACCCTGTGTGAAGCAAATCAACATAAAAGGTTTCCCTGACCTCCTGTGAACAAATCAGCAAGAGTTTTGTGAGCTCTGGTTATTCTCAATGAGGGAAGTTGGACAGGACTCTGGTTGTAAGGCCCTTGTGTAAAGCCCCATGTGATTATTAGCTAGCACAGATGCCTAGGATCTCACTTGTACCTCTTTAAACAGCTGTGATTGCTGCAAGAAAAAAACGTGTGTGGCTTTAAATCTTTTTCCTGCTCTTTTTTTCTGTCTGCCTTAGGAGCAGCAAAGGATCCTGGAACTGGGGATCACAGGCCCTGAAGGGCATGTCTTGAGCAGACCTGAAGAGGTGAGGACTTTACTGCCTGTGCATTTGCTCCCCCAATTTATAACATTTCTGCATTGCCATCAGGTACTTCATAGTGGGATGGATGTGGCTGGAAACACAATTTCATCCTGGCTGTAAACATTATTACTGCGTGGGGTAAGGGAAGAGGCTAACTAGGGGCTAACTAGTGACTAGTCCCTTCTAGAGACTAACTGCTATGGGTACATGTGAGGAATTGAGGAGCTGCCTCAGCTTCTGTACTGGAGACGGGGTCATCTCCAGGGAGTAATTAGTTTCTGCTCACACATCAGGTGTCTAAAGTGAGGTGAGATGTGTTTGAACCGCAGAGCCCATGATAAGCACTCAAGACACAAAGAACTGTTGCTACTTAGCACGTCTTCTGTTCAGCCCTTTGACAGCCCAGACTGGGATCCTACATTAGGAGGCGTAGAAAGTGTTGAACCTGACGCACAGGTAGAGCACAGTCCACCTGAATCACCAATTCCTTGATTCAGCTGCGGCACAGGAACACTTTTAAGATGGAGTCTCTGAAGAGTTACGTGTTCCGATTGATGTTGTTGGTCTTTATGGAGCTAGACCCTGAAGTTCTTGTAGTTTCCCATTGTTTTCAGTTGAGTTTTGCGTGAGTAAAGACCTCAGAATTTTGGTTTACGTAGGAGGGATTCTGCCACTGACTTTTCTAGATCCCATCTCTTGGACTTCTCTCTTCATCCTTCATCATACCAGAGAGGGGAGCTAATTCTCAAATCTTAGCCTAGCACTTTAATATAGTTAACCTCCATACTTCCCCATTGATTTCTCTAGGGTCAAGCACCCCAATCCCCCTCTCTCCCTCTAAACCTTTAAAATAAATCTCAAAAGTGAGAATGACCCTTAAAACTTTGCTTTTCAGGTTGGTTCCCCTTGCGTTCTTCATTTCCAGTCTTTCAGTATCTCTGAGCTAGACATCTCGCCATGGCATTCTGGGTCTGTGAAGTCCATCTGTTATGTACAAGCAGTTCTTTTTGTTCCTCTAAGCTATTGGGGCTTTGCTGACTGCCAGATGTGGCAGCTGGAAGCTGGGTGTGTGAGATCATCCACACGTGCCCCTCATGCTCCCTCTCTGTTTCCTCCCCTTGGTTCAGACAAGCAGCATCCAGATAGATTTCAGTAGGAATATAAATCATTCAGTTGCTTCATGCAGAAGGGGAAAAAAAATCCTCGACTTGGGCAGTATGTGAATCCTCACAGAATTTGTGTTTGGCTCTGGGAGCTGAGATTTTTTGCTTCCTGAAGGTTGTGAGCAAACACTTGCACTGAGCTTTCCATCCACCCACCCCTGCATTTTATTTTATTTTTTTTTACATATTTTTTGGCTTGCATCAGGAGAGCGGGAACAGATGCTGACATGAGACTTGAGGCTCATCTGTGGAGTACCCCTAAACTTTTGTTGACTTCAAAGGAAGGCTGCTCCTTACCTTAAAGGATCCGGCCATCAAACTAACCAAGTCTTGTCTGGCTACTTCAGAGCTCATCCTTAGTGGAGCAGGAGCTTTAAAGTGTGAACTGTGTGGTTCCCTGGCTTGGGTGGTTTGTTACATCTGTGCAGAAATGTGTTCTTTCTCGGTATAGTGAGGAAGGCTCCCTGAGGACGTGTGATGCCTCAAATGAGGATCAGTAAAGCCTCTTCCCGGTGTCACTGGGCAGCCTCTGCACAGCTGAACTCAGCTGTGATGTCTGCCCAGAGTGGAAGCATTTGATCCAAAATTCTCCTCCTTGAAAGTCATAGGAAACAGAGCAGGAAACTATGTCATCTGGTTCCCTCCCCTCCTTTTCTCCAACGAGGGAGTAACTTTGTGTTTTTAAAAACATACAACTTCCTTTAAGCTGGCTGATGATAAAGGCCAGATTCTGAGGGTGGCAG